GCCTGCACACTGGCCTCGGCTCCTTTTTGGGGCGGTGGCGGTGGTGTGTGACTATCTTTTTCTTTTTCTCCTTATGAAGAAGGTGTACTGTGGTAAGTTTGAGGGCGAGCTTTTTGTCGTCTTAAGTGTAATGCACCCCACCAAAAGAACCAGGCCATTGTTCTGGAAAGGTCTGCTCTTTCTTAATGGAACAGAAATACAGCCACGTCTGTACAATTGGCTACCGGGCCAGGCCACAGGAAAGGTCTCAAACAGCTAGAAGTTGTTCGGCTAGAGAAAAATGTTGTCTTGTGACTTGAAAGCAGTCGTTCATCAAAGCGTGCTTGAAGGCCTTCCTCAGCGAACTGCTCCCTAGTTTTCGGAGTAAAGCACAGGCTCTGGGCTCCCGGCAGCGGCTGCTTCCTGCTGGAAGCCGGACCCCCGGGGAGCCTCTGCAGGCACTCTGCACAAAGCGTGCCCTGAGAAACCCGCTCCTCTCCACGCTGCCCTCCAGCTTCAGCTGCGCCACTAGGCGCCGCAGGGCATTCACGCGGGGCCCGGAAGACATGGCGGCAGCCCTGAGATCCGAGGGTGGGTGTGCAGGGATGGGAATACGTTTCTTTCTTCCTTCCTTTCTGATTACATGAGGGGGGCTTCACAAAGTTCATGGAAAAATGGAATGACGATATACTGGGATTTTCCCAGGGGCTTTTGGAAACCCTCTGAATACTGCCTTCCCCTTCACAAAATGAGTATGTGAGGTTTAGCCCCTCCCCCTCCTCTGACCCCTGCAAGTCCCCGTCCTTCTGACACCCTCTAAGTGATGGGGGGCTGTCTTTCCCTGGGCCAGCACTGGGACCAGTTGTGACTGCAAGGAGCTGGGTTCAGGCTCTTGAGAAAGGCACTCAGAGTCTAAGGTGGGGGGAAGGTGGGCACTGGAGCTGTGAAGAAGGAGAAGCTCGGGCCCCTGGGAGCACTGTTTGGGGAGTCTGTGTACGAGGCAGCGGAGAATCCTCTCCAGGCGGCAACATCCATTTGAACTCTGAAGGAAGAAGCGTGGTGGGAACTGTGGACAATTACTTCAACTTGGCTGACCCACTGGGTCTCCTCCAGAGGCTACCGCTGACTCAACCTTACCTTGGCCATGAAAAACACAATGAAAAGCAAACTCTCAATGGCTTCATAAACAGTCCTGCTGCTCTATTTCCTTCTCGGAAAGGGCATTCAACTCTGACCGATGCCACAACAGCCTCAGAACCCCAAGAGGTCACTGGCTTTGTTTGCTGCCAACTCGTCTGGCAGAAGAGCTTTCTCTGCTAACAGACTCGAGGAAAAGCTCAAGAGCAAGAGGGGCAGGTGTCAAGGAAGTAAAAGAGAGACTGCAGAGTACAAAGACCCTGAGAGGGTAAATTGCCCTTAGCACAAGCTAACCTGGCTCCATCTGTAACGGTCAACAGGTGATGTGGTCTGCAACGCAAAGATCACTCTGCAGAGTGACATGAGCAACCTGTGACTGCAGCTCAGATAACGACTTTCTGGAAACACACACAACACACACACAACACACACACACACACACACACACACACACACACACACACACACACACACACCAGAAGCTTTCTACAGACAAAACAAATGAAACTTAGAAGAGCAAGAAGTCTAAAGCACGCCGCCCCCCACAAGTACAAACATTTTTTAAAAGTAAAAACTAGTCTGTATGATAAGTCTTCTTAGAACACATTTTCTCTTCTTCATATGGCCTGCATCTTCCAGAATATCCAAGGGCAAGATTTACTTGCACACACACACACACACACACACACACGGGTGCTAAGTTCCGCGGATTCTGAGAGAAGGAGGAGACTGGAACCAGCAGGAGGAAACCTAGGCTTGAAGACACTCATCAAATGGCCTGGTTAAATTGGCTGACCCTCTGGCCTTGCGTGCTGTCATCTCTAAAATGAGGCTGGGCAGACAGCTTTATACTTTCATCTGTTGTCATAAACATATACCATTTCACTAATGCAGTTGTCTACATAAGTCCAAGAAAACTTTCCCAAAGCAGGCAACAGAGTTTAAGCTACATAGGAACAAATGATAAAGTACGTACTGGCAGAGATTATTCTACCAGATTATTCTACCTGAACATTGTGGAAGGAGTGCTGAAGGCATACTGGTTAAGTGCACGGCTGTGAGGGACGTGGTCATCTGTGCAGGGCAGCACATGAATGACTGAACGTGGCTCTTCAAGACAAAGTCAGTGCCTCCCACCAAACGACCCTTCCCTGCCTGCGTCTGGTTCAGAAGGTGGGGGAGATCCTGATAGGATTTGCCTGTGAGTAATGCAGTGTATAAAATGAGCCCTCTGAGAAGCAGAGGGATCTCCTGACCAGAAAGAGCCTGGAGTGGGCCATGTCCCCTGCACAGGGAACCTCCTGGATCCAGATGACTGCCATACCACCAGGGCAGCAGCAGCAGAACCAGGAGCCAGAGCATGGACAGAACGATGGATTTCACAATCCACGGAGGTAGTAAAGATGAGTGTTGTGATGCAGGAGGCTGGCTCTGGGGAAACTGGACTTGCTGACCCACGGCAGTGGGGCTGAGTGCCTTTGGGCTGAGGCTAACTGGAGTGGGGTGCCGTAGGACCCTTAGTTGGAGAAGGTAGAGTTGCTGAATGCCTTTACATTGAGGCTTATAGCAAAGTGATAGTCCCTTTTGGAATTTGTTGATAAACAACTCAACCCTGAGCATTTCTCTTTGGCATTACAACTTGTTAACTTCCTTAAGAAAGTCTTTAATTATGAATTGTGTCCGTGAGTTCTGTGTAGCCATTGCAATGGGTATTAGAACCTAAGAAGTAAAATCACTCACTCACTGCCATTGAGTCGAGGAGGATTCAGTGACCCTATAGGACAGGGTAGAACTGACCCTGTGAGTTTCAGAAACTGTAATTGTTTATGGAGTAAAGAGGTAAACTAGAGATCATTAATTAAGACCAAATAATCTGTTCCTGCAAAACCCTAAGGGGCAGTTCTGTGCTCTCTGACAGGGTCGTCAAAGTCGGAATCGCCGCCGCGCTGGTTCTCTGCACACATCAATTCCGTCTCCCTCCCAGTATAACCAGGAGACCCATTATTACTGGGCCTTGGTCTACGCCGGCTTGTCGAGATCAGCTTACCCAAGGTCACACAGCTAGAAAATGGTGGGGCTGGGACTCACACCCGGAGCGACTCAAAAGCTAATCCTTTTACCCACACATCTGTGGTTAGTGGGCTTCTGACAACGGGGTCAAGCCCACTCGATGAGGAAAAACGCATTTCCTCAATAAAAGCGCCAGGACACGAAGTTTTCCACGCGCTGAAACGTGAAAGAGGGCCCCTGCCTCACACTACACCCCAAGAAAAATCCAGAAAGGACCTTAAACCATCACATTCTTACAAGAACAGGCAAGGGTGGCATGTCAGCTTTCAACAACGGGCTCCCTAATCTAACAACAAAGCTCCAACAGCAAGAGACAAAACAGACAGACTCATGAAGATGAAAACTTTTTGTTCATAAAAAGACTACCTGGAAATCGAGGGGGGGGCGGGGGCGGGAAATAGCTACTGGTTTGGAGACTATCTTTGGAAAACAGATATTCAATAAGAATATAAAAACAAAAATATAACCAAACCTCAACAACGGAACAATGAACAAATACCCTGAGATGTGGTTAAAGACTTAAGAAAGCCTTTCCAGCCGTAATCCGTGTGTCACACACTATAAACTCCTGCCTCTGCACCTACGGTTATAATCCCATTTTGAAGGGAGTTCTGTTACAGGATTAAGGTAGGATTCATCCCAGTGGTTCTCAACCTGTGGGTCGAGACCCCTTTGAGGGTTGAACGACCCTTTCACAGGGGTCACCTGATTCATCACAGCAGCAAAATGACAGTGATGAAGTAGCAATGAAAATAATGTTATGGTTGGGGGGGGTCACCACATCATGAGGACTGTATAAAAGGGTGGCGGCATGAGGAAGGTTGGGAACCACTGATGTGTCCTTAGTCATTACCTTAACAGAGGGCGTGACATATTTTTCCTTGGGAGGTTTGGTCAAGTGGAAGACAAAAACCACACTTCCATCAAAGACTTCCCTTTTGTGACTTCCTGCTGAGCACAGGGCAAAGCAAGGAGACCCGGCTGACTTTCTGGCTCTGGACCCTATGTTTGACTTGCTTCAGCCCGGCCTTCAGATGTGGGGCTTAAACGCCCCCACAACCACAGGAGACATTTCCTTTAAGTTCTGTGAGACGTGGGCAGTGAAGCGCAGAACCCAGGGATGTGAGAGAGAGATGGAACAGTTTAACATCTTGGAAAAGTTGAGCATTTCTGATGTCATTAATTTCCAACTCCTTGGAAATTAATTCCAGAAGAAATGATCACATAACCCAATTATCATAAAAAGGACAAAGGACTTGAATACACATCACCAAAAAGATTCAAATGGCCGCCAAGCACATGACAAGCACTTGGCATCATTAGACATCAAAAAAACAAAACAAAACCCAACCCACTGCTATCGCCATCCAGCGATTCCAACTCACAGCGGCCTCAGTGGAGGGAGGGGTGTGGCGCACAGGGTTCCAAGGCTGTGAGCTCTGTGGGAGCGAACTGCCACCCCTCTCCTTCAGAGGCTGGTGGGCTCAAATGACCAACCCTTCATTAGTGGCCAAGGGTTCTAACCCGAGTCACTGGGCCTCCGTAAGACGGTCATGTGCGTGGGGAATGAATTTTATAAACAAAACTCCCTATTTCAATTCTGTATACTCTTGTAAAACAGTAAGCAAGCTGCCCTAACATGCAACCTTCTCCTACCAGACATTCTGGCTTCATCTGTCACCTGACCCTCGGGCCGTTTCCCGGTCCAGCCTGGACTGGTGGCCTTTGTGGGCTGACAGACCCGAGAAGGTCTCACAGAGCCGGTCAGCCTCTCGCTCACTCGCACCGAGGCGGCGGGAGCATCGGAAGATCACCTTTCTTGGAGCCCACTCTGGAAGAGGCGCTGAAGAACTTCTTCACCGTGGTGACCTTGCGGGTCTTCTCGTTGGTTTTCTTCTCCTCAAACTTGGAGAATGTGAGGGACTGGGCCCCCTGGCTGCTCTGACTGCTGGCATAGGCCTCTTCCTCCTCCCGCTGGAGCCTGGAAGCCAGAGAAGATTCAGAATGAGCTGGTGCTGGCTCCGCTTTTCTTACAGCTAAAACAAACTGCTCGACGGGCTGAGAAGCCTCGCCATGTGGTACAACAGGAGGGAAATGTACCACTGGGTCCGAGCACTCGGACAGGTAGCTAAAGGAGGAGAGCACCTCTCTGCTTCTACCGGCCTCTTAGCTCTTGGTTGCCCGTCCATCTCGACTGCTCATTTCTGTCAGAGAATGCCAACACCTTTGACTGACAAATGCCCTTTTGAAGGGAAAGGCAGACTCCTCCAGTGCCCGGAATCTGGACACACACCGAAGAGGCCTCTGTTCTGCACTCAGGGGCTGTGCTGGACGTGATCAACGGGTGGGGGTGGGGAGAGACTCGGGCTAGGTGAGGGCCATGGGCTAAGCCCAGTGCTGGGTACACACATACCATCTCATCTCACCTTCACCGGAGAGCACTTCTCTCCATTCTTTTCCTCCAAGGAGCTTCCTGTCCAAGTTACGAGAACGAAGACTAACGCGCCCCAAAGAGCAATCGTGAGCCATTACCAACACCAACCAAAGGCACCACTGAGTTAGTCCTTAAATGCTGACTAAGAGACAGATTGTCCTTTCTTTACACATTAAGGACAAGACCTCTTTAAAATGTTGAGCAGCAAAGATGTCACTTTGGGGTGAAAGACCTTTGGAGCATGATGTTAGCCAAGAATACTGAAGATACTTGTGGGCTGCCCAAAGAAGGAACAAACCTGTCTTGGGAAAAGTACACACAGGACGTTTGTTCCCGGAGCAAGGCTGGAGAGCTCCTAACTCACTCGCTCCGGCCTCGTGATGAGGAAGGACGAGCGCCGAGGAAGGGCCTCGTGCTTGATGCAGTAGAGGCTGAGCGACAGAGGGAAGCCCTCCGTGAGATGGGCCGGGCAGGGCTTCCTTCTGGGGCTCATGGGAGGGGTCCCTACGAGCTGGGGCCACCCGACAGCACCCAGCAGCAACAGGGGTCACTCAAGAGAAAAAAGCATTCTGACATGGACATGGCTGTGAGCTCAGTTACGCTGTTCTCTTTTGCTGGTCACGCCACTCTTAAGTCTCCCCTAGTTCAGTCATTTACCGCTCGGCCAGTTCCCAGTCCTCTTGAATCTGCTTCTGCCTGGCTTTCTGGTACTCCTCCCTCCAGCACTTGGAGCAGAAGCCCTGCCAAGCAGAGTTGCCGTAGTAACCGCATCCTTTCTTGCACAGGAGCTCCGACTGGTCCACATGAATTCCTCGGCGTTCAGACTTCAGGCTCATCTTCTTCCTGCTGACCCGGGGACAGACAAGAACACGCTGTTGAGGGTGGATTCACTATCGGTTTACACACCTGCAGTAGAACAACTGCAAGCAAACAAATGAGTGAGTTCAAAAATCTGTACGTTAAAAGGAAAGACAGAAAGGAGGAAGGGAAAGAGCGAGAGTGCGAGAGACAGAGAGAGGGGTCTAATATAGCCCATGAGCCCTACTGGTGAACGAGAAAACGTTTCTTCCCGGCTCAGGAACAGAAAGACACTTTGGGGCGGGGCGACCAGATGCTTCTCAGTTGCAGTCAGAAGTTCGACATTCTTAAACTGCACGACACAGAGCAACCCTCCTTAATACTCCTCAGAGTCAGTGTGCTCCTTGGCTGATTTCAAAGATGTGAAGGTGAACAATCAGAGATATGAAGGTGTGACAGACACGCCGTTACCCACGACGAGGGAGCTGAGCATCAAAAGAGAGTGCCAGGCCTCCACATGGCCTGCAGGGTGGTCACCACCTCAGGACAAAGTCAATGAGCCTATCCCTGTCCCCACGTGTCATATGCCTGTCACTGTGACCGATATTCTATTATTAAATTGCCCCGAATCACTCGATGAAAAAATTGACGGATACTAGAAAGTACCCCAATTCTACTCCTAAACTAACAACAGCAAGCAGATTCAGCCCCAGCTCAGAGCCCAGACCCCTGGAGTCCCTGGAGTGGTTGTCCCAGACTGACCCAGTCAAAAGGCCATCCTGGGGCCCGGGACATTTCATCGTCTCACCATTTCCCAAACAAGGCACACCTTCACGCCCAGTCTGGGATTCTTCCCCAGAGTTCTCTTCTGCTTTTTCAGGGATGATTCATTACTCAAAGATCATCCTAGACTTCCACGAGGCTTTCCACCAGGCCCCAGTCTCCCCCAATCCCCGACCAGAATCTCTGTTCTCCAGAAGTTGCTTGGGCCAGAACCGCTAGCTACTTAAAATCTTGGAGGAAGAACTGTTGGGATGTAGGTTTGGATCACACAACGGGCTGATTCGTACTGTTATCATTTTGATGGTGAATGGGGGGTGTGTGTCCCTCTTGGACTTGACATAAATCTGGGAAAATGGTACCCTCATCCACTGCTGGTGGGGATATAAGATGGTACAGCCACCAACCAGCAGACAGGGGCTGACCACAGGACTGAGTGATTACACTCCTACAACCCAGAAGACTTGAACTCAGGGACCCAAAAAGGTATTCGTACATCAGCGCTCACAGCAGCATTAATTACAGCAACCAACAGAGCCCTGGTGGTGCTGTCAGGTGAGCAATGGACTGCTAATTGCAAGGTTGGGGGTTCAAACCCATCAGCCGCTCCCAGAAGGCTATGCAAAGATGAGGCTGTCTGCTCTGATGAAGACTTCTAGCCTTGGAAGTCCTACACAGAGTCACTATGAGTAGTGGCGGTGGGTGTTAAAAGGCGGAGATAAAACAGACACTCTCGAGAGATGAACAGAAAACAAAATGAGGTAGATATCGAAATGGAATACTATTGAGTCATAAAAAGGAATGATGTTCTAATGCGTGCTGGAATGTGGATAAACTGTGAACGCATTATGTTCAGTGAAATAAGCTAGCCACAGCAGGGCAAATATTGTCTTGTTCTACTTACATGAGCTAGGTACGAGAGGTACATTCATAGACAGAGATTAGATTGCTGTTGAGTACTGAGTCAGGTTTGACTCATAGTGACTGCATGTAAACAGAACAAAACACTGCCCGGCGCTGCTGGCACAACCCTCACAGCTGTGCTGGGTTTGAGCCACTGTTGTAGTCACTGTATCGATCCTTCTTCATTGTGGCTGAGGATAGTTTCCTTCTGAGGTGGTAATAGACTGTACAGGTGATCAGGGTGATGCATCTTGAAACAATTCACGCTGCTAAGTTTCACAGGTGAAAATGGCAAATATTGTGTTATCGTTTCAATTAAAAAGGAAGCAGCCAGAGGTGTGCAGAGGTCAGCCAGCGATCTGGTCTCCTGAAGGCAGCCACACCGCATGGACTGGAGCAGCTGCCCACTGTCTTCCTCCGGGCTGTCCTGGTTCCTAGTTGCTGTTGAGCTTAGTGTCAGAGGGTTTGGTTCCTATCTATTGTGTTGGTAAAGCGGAAGGTCAGCGAAAAAAGGTAGACGCTCAACAGCTGGCTACAGCAATATAGAACAATTGTGTGGATGGTGCAGGAGCAGGCGCGATTGCCTTCTGTGGTACACGGGGTCACTGGGCGTGGGCACTGGCTGCCTGGCACCTAACCATCACCACCATGAGCAGCTACTGTATGAGAGAATCTACTATCCCACAATCTCACAAATACTGTGCACTAAGCTTTCATTTTTGCTCATCTGATAAGCAAAAAAGGTTCCTTTCTGGACTTAGTATGCATGTATTTCCTTGAGGAGGAAGATGTGAGGTAAACTCCACCCAAAGAATTTGATTTTTGTCCTTGGTCTTGAGGACTAGCCTCTAAAACCTTACCATTTTCCTACTGACTGAAGCCTCCAGACTAGACCTCGGATTTCCTGAAGTGGGTGTTGACCCTTCCTGAGGGATCTGCTGACGTGGGGCAAGCGTGGGATGGGTGCATGATTCCATCAAGCGTGTCTACACAGTGAGGCCCAGAAAGGCTGCGGACATGGGCTTCCTGGTTGGGGGAAGACATGACGGTGCACAGGAGGGCAGCATGAAGTTATCACTTAGGGACCCTCCCAGACCTCACCTCGGAGTATCTTATAGCACAGGGCATTTCTGAGTTCTGCGAGTGGTTCTAGTGGATTATGGAAGCCAAGGGAGTGAGATGTGGGAACCAATAGGTCAGGTTGGGGGGAAAGGAGGTGTGGGGACTCCAGAGCTAACACTGGTATCCAGAGGAAACTCTCAGATCTGCAGGTCAGGAAGGAGGAGAGCCATGGGGACCCCTTAACTAATGGCTGGTATCCACATTTGTAGCCAGCAGATCAGATGTGATGGTGTTGTGGGGACCTGCTTGAGGTTGGTGTCTCAAGTCTTGGGCAGAAACCAGTTTTGGAGCTGTGCCTTTAACTGGTGAGCTCTGACCATGCTCTGGGTGACTGGAGTCAGAGGGGTACAGAACTGGTAGCAGAGTGCTACGAGATCTGATTGATCCTTTACAGTGGGGTGTCCAATATGTAGGCCTTGACTGGCCCAGCAAGAGGTTAACCAGCTTTGTACATAGGGCTGAGCTATTAGCATATTTTCCGTGAAGAAATGAAATGTGCGTGTTCTTTGCTCATTCTTCCATGAATTGCTTGTCCCTTTTTTTTTTTTTTAAGAACGAAATCTTTTGATTTATAGATGCCCTCTTCATAGTCTGTGGTCTTTAAAGACACCAAAGTCTTAAAGGAAAACCTGATTTCAAATCTGCCTCCCAGGTCCACCACTTTCCACAGCATTACATGGTTTCTTCTAATCGAATGCGTGCGTCACACACAGTCAGTGGTGGAGTTCCAGGATTGAAACATCACAACACAAAGTTTTGGAATGGGAGCCTGCCCAAAACATTCCAAATACCATTCCAACCCCCAGAGTGAACATGATGCTGGGCTGGCTGCTGCTGGAATGTGCTAAGCCAGCACAACAGCATTCTTAAGGACAGCATTGTAGCCCAGTCTTTTATTACACGAAATCACACCTCTTCCCAAAGCAAAATCATGACTCCAGCACAGAGCGCACCCCAACCCGGGCGACCAGCTGGAAATTACATGCAAGATCACCTGGCCTCTGAAGTCTCCCCCATCATCTTCTGCCCCCTTTGTGGGGAAGCAGTGGATGTAGTTAAGCGTGTCGGCTGAGCATGATGGACCCCTCTCGTAAAGCTTCACATAAAGTGCCATCGCACCGCAACCACAGCGTGAGACGGCTCTGCTTCCCTCTGCATCTGACTGCTAGCTCGGCTGGGCCCACAGCCACCTTCGGCACGCGGCCGTGCCGGGCGACACACACAGACACACCCTAGGAGCTAAGAGACAATTGCCTCGAATGTGTTTACTCAGATTTGCAAGCTGATTCAATCAAATCCATCTTTTCACTATAGTTTAAGCTCTTGAGAAATGCCTTGTGTCTAAAACATGCATCCTATGTAAAGGCTATGCAAGTAAACTGGATTGTGACCAAACTTGGGGGGGTGGAGGCAAATGCAAAAGTAAATAAAAATGACAATCCCTACGAACCACATCACTTACTAACCTCTACTTACTCACTGGTTGGCAGCAAGGTTGATATAATAAGAGAAGTTAAAATCTGAAAGTGCTAAAAAGTTATCCAAACAAAATGACAGTCAGGGAAAGCGAAAAGAATGGCCTTCAATGACTGGCCAGGGGACCTTCCGGGGAGCTCCGGAAAGTTCCCGCAGCTTGCCGTTCCATTTGCCCCACAAACTTGGTGAAGCCCCCTTGTACTTTTCCGAACACTAAGGGTGTGCCTGAAGTGAGATCATTCTGCAAACCTCGGGTCTCAACAAAACGAGCCGTCCGTCAACTAGGGTGCGGCCATTGTCAAAACTGTTCGAATCATCACAGCCGTTGAGAACGGCTGCAAATGCTTAACAAAATGAAAAGCACGTGCGTTTTTCACACTTTGAAGCGAGTCCGTGGGTCAGGCCCTCTCCTGTGCCTTATAAGCGAGAGTCCCACGTCCCAGAGAGCAGTTGCCAGTCCTGGTCGTGCCGGTTGTGCTGGCCTAGAGCACTGCCCTTTGGTTTTTAGAAGTGACCTGCTTTGGACCATAAAGGCACGGTCTCCGTCATGTCCACCTTCAAATCCTGCCCTGCTCCAACGCCCAACGCTGTCTGAGGAACTTTCCCCACTGGCTGGCTGACAATGGCCCCAGGTTCCCACCGCGCCTCTTGTCTACCACCGCTCCCTGCTTGCAAGCAGGCCCTCGGCACAGTGCCAACCAGAGGGTGGATATTTAAGTAAAGGCCTTGGGAATGTGTTAAAGGACTTAGGAAATATTTCTCTC